TCGAAAGTGCAGAAACACTTCTGAAGAAAGCCATCTATAACCGCGACAACCTACAACAACTCTTCGAGCATTAACAAAGCATAGGGAATCAATATAGAAAAGCACATAACAAGAAGTTCAGCTCAACCATAAAAAATGAGAACAGATCATGAATGTAACAAAAACTTGATATTTCTTTAGAAGCGAAACTTCAATAAGCATGAGATCAGATCAAATACCGAAACCCAAAGAAAAGGAGATAACTAGAAAAGAGAGAAATGATCGAAGACTGATAAATGAGAATAAAAGATGAAATCAGAGCGAAAAATAAGCATCACATACCAGGATTCTGGGAATGGAAAATAAGGGGTTTGAACGAAAAATAGAAAAGAAGAACGCAGAGAGTAAAAGTCAGAGAAGTAACTAGTGCGAGAGATGTGGGATCAGCTACGACTACTCAGAATGAAGAGTACAATAAGAGCGTGTGATGCGAATGCGACCGTGACTGCGATTATTTGTCGCTGAGGCTGTGGTTTGTGAAGAAAAAACTACGATTATTTTCATTTTGACATTTTAATTTCTTTTTTGGGGCCCGGAGGAAAAGTAATGAACCTTTTCTAAGAACATGCTATTCACCTGTTTACGACGCAAGAGTTCAACTGCTAAAATGTTAAAATGTACTGCCTCCGGTACTAATTATAAGAACTAGTTAATTAATTTGAAGAAATTAAAAAAAGAAATTAAGTTAGTTATTTGTAATAAATAGATATTATCTTTCCTAAAATATCCTTACTAATCAAGTGTATTAGCTAAAATTACCATTATTAAAAAGACTATATTAGGAAAAAAATGTATAAATATAAAAGACAAACTGGATTGGGGTTTTATATTTAGGACTAAAATAAAAGTTAAAAAAATCTTATATTAAGAATCGGAGATAGTATGTAGAGGTAAAGCCGTAAAGGGTTCGAATTTTCACTGTACAAAGAAAAAGAAATTAATAATGAAACTATTTTTGGTCAACTAGAAGCAATGAAAATTTTTAATTAAAGAAAATAAGACAATTAAGTTATAATAATCAGTTATATTTTATAATAAAATAATGATAATAATACGAAAGAATATTGCCATCGATCCTTAAAAATTATTCTATTAAAATTAACTAAAAAGATAATGTAAAGAATTTAAAGTATATAAAAAATATTGTTTAAAGTTGTTTATAAATATTTTTACATAAATTAAGATAAAACTTTCCACACGTTTTTTGAATTTTCTAAATTATAATTGAAAAGTCATTTTTAAAATTCCGATTATCATTCCAAACAAGTCCACTTCTAATTATGTGAGGGTTAGATAGAAATGCCTTCTAATAAGAATGAGAGAGGAATATACGACATTATATATGTTTCGCCAACTTAAATTATCCTACCCCAGTTCTTAATATAAAAAAATTAGTTAAGTTAATTATTTATAACAAATAAGTGTTGTATCCTATAAAATATATTTTCTAATCATATGTATTAATTAGAACTATCATTTGATAAAACATTTAATATGTGTATAACTACTGTAAGGACTGTCTAAAAAATAATGAATAAATAAAATAAAATAGATTGAGATCATATATTTATAACCAAATAGAACGTTAAATTAATTTTTATATTAAAGAGAGGAGATAGTATATTTCTAACCTTTGAGTCTTTTTAATGTTATAAGGCTAAGAATACATTTCAAAAGCAAAATCAAAAAGTAAGAGAGGAAGAGAGGGGTTTAAAGTTGACCCCTAAGCATCTTTGTGGTCTTCTTTAGCAATTGACTTTCTAAAATGTCTGCAATAACAAAAAGGACGGTTAGGTTGAGGCCCGGCGCACCTAAACATGGCATGGCATGGCATCCAATTCCTGACCTGCCGCATGATCGGTGGGTCAAATCAAATGTTCCAAATTATACAACCACACGTGGGTCGCGGATGCAATGGAGTAGTAACAAGCGTTTTTTTTAATCAATATACGTAAATTAAAATAAAACTCTTTTCACACATATTTATTTTATATTTTATAAATTATAATTAAAAAAAATTTAAGTCATTCTAAGCAAGTTTATATAATTATATTAGGGATAATTAATCTGAAAGTCCTTATAGTTTCAATCAATTTTGAATCAGGTCCCTATAATTTTTTTTCTTTTTATCATGTCCTTATATTTTTACCTGTTTTTAATTAAATCCTTGCATTTATTTTTCTTTTTATCAAGTCCTTATAAGTTCATCTTATTTTTAATTAAGTCCCTAAATTTTTTATTCTTTATTTTATAAATTCTAATAGTACTACTCTATAAACATAAAATAATATTTATTATTTAATATTAGTTTATAAACAATAATATTCTAAAAATAATAAATCATTATAATAATTTTTTTGCAAAAAAATTAATTGTTGTAAAAATTTTTCCTGAATTAATTAATTATATTACTTATCTTTTATTATATAATTATTAATATTTTATATTTCAGTATTAATTTATTTAATTAATTTATATTTAATTAATAAATAAAAATTAAAACTAGATGGACCTGATTAAAAATTTAGTGAAATTATAAGGACTTAATAAAAAGAAAAATAAATGCAAGGACTTAATTAAAAACAAATGAAAGTATAAGAACCTGATAAAAAGAAAAAAAACTATAAAGACCTAATTCAAAATTGGTTGAAACTACAAGGACTTGCGGATTAATTAACCCATTATATTATGGACAATACTTACATCAAATTACTTATATTTATTATATCAACCATATGTTACATTTAATTATAAATCTATATAAAACAAAAAAAGACACATGATTATATGTGATCGGAGGTTTGATATACTAGATACAAGCATCCTGACCTAAATTTTTCTCTTATATTATTGCATTGAAAATTTTTGAAAAATTATAATTACAAATTATAATTAATTTTATAGATTAAATTTATCATTAAGGCATCGCAAGAAGAAACCTTGCTCTCCCGTGCAAAGATACGTCCTCGTGGTTTTGAAAAATGAAATCCATCGTATAATTAAATTTGTTTCATGCATGGCTTTCCTTAACGGGTGAGAAGGTAAAAGTGGTTAAAATATGGGGTAAAATTTTTTTTTTGAAAAAGCCACTTTTGTTACTTATAAATATTTAATTTTTCTGGATTTGAAAATAAAGGAATGGGAAAGGGAAAAGGCAAAAGGTAGCTGCTCGCATCTGATGCCTTCTTTGTTGATTGATAATATTTCTTTGTAAATTGAATTTGCAATTTGCGTTTTCCTCCAACATGTACACACACATATAATTACATTAAAACAAATACTCGTATAATTTATCATCAAATTAAAGAATAAAAGTGCATTACTTTTTTATGATGAAAATAAAAGTGCATTACTATTTTGAAGTGATATCATCTGCTCGCTCAAGTATTTTAATTTAATAGAATCTACAATAATCTTGTCGACAATGAAATTGAAATTAAATTCTTTGCGACTTGCACGTTAATGTACACGGCTAAATAACTAGTTGCATTATATTTTTTACAAAAAATATTATAACTTACAATTTAAAGTCACAAGTGGCCATGATGGCATTGGCTCTCCTATGTTTTCAAATTGTATATTTTACAACTTCAGCTGAAAACCTGTCTACCCCGGTTTTTACTTTCCAATACTTAAATGAGTATCCATGAGTTAGGAATGTGTAGGGACTGGGTCAGGATATAATATTAAGTTTAATTGGGTTACAAATAGGATTAAATTTACTAAGAATCAAACAAAGCAGTATAGGTCTAGCTATACTGTTAGTGAAGGAATTTGCAAATTCCATTGTAGAAAAAACTGTAACTAATTAATAATCCTCTGGTCCTAAATATATGGCCTATTTTGTAGTATAAATTGCTGTAATTTGTACCAATTTACACTACAAAATGAGTCCTATGTTTAGGATCAGAGGAATAGTAATTAGTAACGAAATTTTGTCGCTAAACTTCTTAGTAATGAAAATTCTGTAGCTAAATCTCATCACCAATCGCTATATAAATAGGTTCAGAACTTGCCCAAAATTGTTTGCATATTCTAGGTCTTGTTTTAGGGCATCGCATTCCTAAGGTTGTAATTATTGAAATCTGAAATATGCCTACATCATTAACAATATGTCGAGTTTGACTAAATATAAAACATCGACTATACATTCTTTTCATTAAAAGAAATATAAAACAAGTTAAAATAATGACTAATAATGCCAAGTAACCTGGTTCTATATCTCCTGTTTTAGAATAATTTGCTCTTTCTTCAAAAGATAGAAAATTAGATGACATGGGAATGGAATATTATTATCATATTGCGTGTGTGTGTGTCTGTGCGTTAGGGATGATGTCTTTTTCTGGGCTGAGATTAGAGATTTCGGGGTAAATACGCCGTTATGATGTGAATGTTTTTATTATATATTGCTTTAAGAAATACTCCTCCGGTCCTTATTATAAGACCCCATTTGACTTTTTATTTGGTCCTAATTATAAGACCCAAATCCATTTTGTCTCTTATATTTATGCATTTTTTTCCAAGATAATCCTTCTAATAATGATAGTTTTAGCCAATATACTTAATTAGCAAGGATATTTTATGAATGACAACACTTATTTATTATAAATAACCAACTTAACTTACTTCCTTAATCTCCTCAAATAAGTCAATTGGGTCTTATAATTAGGACCGGAGGAGGATTACATTTATATTCAATAGTTTAATTTGTTGATACATGCGTGATGCGATTGAATAATTAAATTTATAGGGTGATCAATTTATGCAAGCTTTTGATGGGACCGATCGCTGCTGGAAAATGAGCCCCAGGCCTCTTATGTTCAAGCATGATTTTGGCCGAATGCTTTAAAAAGACATCATATGAGACATCAATATACGAAGTATATATGGTCGAGAATAGGTTTTATACCTACAAGATCATGTTTCATAAGTTTAATTTGTTTTGTGTGTGTGTATAGTTATAACAAATCCACTGGATCATTAAAAGGATCCAATTATATGTTAAAGTCAAAACAAAACAAACTTGATTCAAAATAAAGAAAGCTAAGAGTCGTATCTGAAGTGGATCGAAGAAGCACAGGTTCTTATTTACATATATTTACAAACCAAGGAGATGAGATAAATTAAAGAGATGAGAATTGATAATAATACAGCGTAAAAGAAGGCCTTAATTATTAGTTCATAGCACTTAACTGTTCCATAAAGCCATCCACTTCAGAGAACCCAGCATGATGACGACGATGATCAAAGAAACCACCCAACCTGATCTCCTTGTTTGACTTTGACCTCCTCGATATCTCATTATCATCATCTTCTTCTTCTTCTTCTTCATTCTTGATCCTCTTGCCATTTCGCAGACCCAGAAAGTCCTCTCCTTCTTCTTGTTTTTCCACAGTCCTCCGGTTATATCCAGGCTTGCCGGTCAATCTCTGAACAAGGTCTCTGAAATTCGCAGCATCAGTTTGTATTATTTTAGGTGCATCCACGTGAATTACTCTGATCTTTGGCTTCAGTTTTGCGATCACCTGAGACTGCCGTGAGCCTCCTCTCTGATCGATTCCGAACTTAGATGATGAACTTGGAAAAAGCGCGCCCGGCTTTGTCATCGATGATCTGTAATATTTTCTGTGGAAGCTCTGGCTAGCTAGATAGGAGAAGAAAGACGTGCTTTAATTTACAAGTTGTTGATTTTTGTATTCCTATATATGAAAAAAGGCAAGTTTTAATAGGAATATTATAATATATATAGCTTTATATGCTGAAGAAGAGAACGAGAAGTTAACCACCAAGCTTATGCAATCAAGCTTTGAAAACTAGGGTTGGATATGTAAAATATATCTCAAAAAGCTTCACTCTCAAGGAAGTGATTATGAAATGGTAACTTCGTGGTACGTACATACGAAACAGAAGAAAATAAGAGGTTGTTTTTTCATATAAGATTTTTCTTTTGTCCTTTAGCTATAAATAATTAAAAAATAATTAATTATTAATAATTTACCCTCTCCCTCCCCTTTTTATAAGAAACGTCCTCTCTCATCGTAGTGTCTCAATATAACGATATAAGAAACAATTTCTCTTATCTAAAATTTTAGACTTGTCTTTTAACTTATTATCTCTTTATAATAAATTTCTATTTCATTATCTTTCACGTATTCTTTTTACAAATAAAGATATAATTAGAAAAATATATATGTAAACATCTTACACATTAATTTTTATTGCTTTTAACTAAATTTAACTAGTATTTTAAGTCACGTGATTTTGATAATTGTTTCTTATAATAAGAAACTGAAGAAGTATTATATATATCTTAATTAGAAATCTCAATTTTTGTATGGTAAGAATAAATGAACATTCCATGATGCCGTTACACTACAACCAAATTCCATGCTCTCCATGAAGATGAACATGCCGCGTGAGATTACATTCATAAAATCCCTTATAAATAGGCCTATCTCTTGGCATATATAGATGAAATGAAAAAGAATGTTTTTATGAATGGTTTAATATAGACATGATTTAATAAAAATTGGAATCCATATTTATCTCATTTTTTCCATGCTTTTCTCTTAAAGAAATGGTGAACATCATTTTGCTATGTATCCCTATTGATGAAGAAGCCGAAGTCAGCTAGTTCCATTTTATTAAATAAGAAAACAAAGGGCCGGTTTTTGATATATGGTAGGCACGGCAAATATTTTCTATAATATCTGCAGCTAGCGTGAATAGTCTTCCATTGTTATTAAATTAATTTTCATATACATAGATCATCATTGACCAAGAAGAATACTACATGGTAATTCAGAGTATTCAAACTCATGAACCTAATTAAGTATGGCGGCTTTTAAAAAGAAAACAAAAGTTAAGATAGAATATAACAACATGTCCTAATTTGCTAGGCCATTTTTAGACCGCTAAACAACGTTTCTCTACTGTCACACCAACCAATATTAAGATATCATCTATATAATATTAATATATTAATATGTTATTATCAATCTAAAGGGGCCAATATCTAGTTTTGTGAACAGAAAAAACAAAGAATGCACCAAGAAACTATAGTCCTTATTAATAATCCGGTTTTTAATTTAAGAGCTAGTTGACTAATTTGAATAGATTAAGAAAATTAGTTAAATTAATTGTTTGTAATAAACAGATGCTATCTTCCATAAAATACTTTTGCTAATCAAGTCTTATTTGATAAAATATTTAATGTGTGCAACTACTACAATGACTATCTTAAATAAATAAATAAATATGAGAAATAACATATATTGAGGTTTTATATTTAGGACCAAATTGAAAATCAAACAAACTTTTATATGAAGAACAGAAAGTATTACTTCCAGTTCTAATTATAAAACCTCATTTGTAGGTTACCAATAAAGTCTTATAATTAGGATTGGAAGCAGTAGTATGTTTCATGAGGTGAAACGTAAGATTTGATATTATACCCAAGACCCTATCTTGTTCATAAAGCTAGAGTTAACTACGAGAAAGGCAATAAAGTAAGCATTAACGTTTTGAGAAGGGAAATGATTTTTTTATTCTTGTTAAATTTAATAAAAGACACATGTTAATAAATTAATAGATGTTATAAAAAAGTCAAACTTTTAATATTGACATTTTTAATATCTTCGTGCTGCAGAAAGCGGGTGAGAAGGATAAGAACATACAGTTTAATTAATTTTTTCACAAGACAGTTTGATTTATTATTGATTATGGCCAAATCAAAGGACTTATTGCCTTTGCATTCCTATGATGTGATCATTTTGTAGACACTAAATTATAATATGTTTTACAGTAACGTGTTTTACAGTATCAAGAAAAATTTTGAATTTCATTAACTATGTATCTTAAAATTTAATACTTTTTAAATTTTATTCCTAGTTAATATTTTATCTGTTTCTTATGAGAAATATTTGACCAAAGTTAGTTAAACTTGATTAGAGGAAAAAATATGTAAAAACTATAACTTCTTTTTCAAAAACACCTTTATTTATGAAAGGGAGAGTATATATAAGAAAGAATAAGAAAATTATTAGAATAAAAAATATTGTGGAAGAGAAAGAATGTGTGGTGGAAAGAGAAATACTGAAATGGTATCATGTTAAAATGAGTAATTAAATTCCTAAAAAAAAAAAGAGTGACTACATAGGGGCAAAATGAAAAATTAATAAAAAATCTGAGACATCATCTAAATATCTGTCTTATAAATAGGAGCAAGCCATATGTGGTAATTATTTCTTATAAATAAGAACAAAAGGAGTATATACTTTATCTATATATTTAATGGCTTGTTTCTATAATAATGAATTAATGGTATTCAAATAAAGAATTATATGATATGACTTATAAATAGAACTGCTTTTTACTCTGCCTTATAAAACCCTATAAATAATACGACGAGATCAAAAGAATATTTAACATTTTTTACCAATGCCACGCTAATGAGAAGATACATCAAGGGGTTTTCTCTTGACGGGTCTGTAAAGCAATTGGATTCCATATTCTTTAAGGTAAAATTGTTTTGGACATCATAAATAGAAATACTAATCATGTTGAGAGAACAACTGCTTCACAATGCTTGAATGTATGGACCAAATGGACTAACCTTCTTTTATCAACTGATCTAATTTTTTTAATATGATAAATTAAAGCCCTTAGTCATCGTTTGCACGTCTCTATCAGCAATATTATTGCCCACAAGTTGATTAATTAACTTTTTGTTGTAATCCTAATTGTGAAGTATTAACCACCAAACTAAACAAATATGCCAAAATCTATAGTAAAATATATTAGTTATAAGATTATAAATACTGCAGCTTATTTTTTGTATTATGTGTAATGCATGAGACAATTACATAATTCATATGACCCTCCTTTTATTTGATGTATTCAATATGGCATTTCTTGTTTCCTAGTGATATCCCTACCAGCATGATAAGGGTTGAGACACGAAAATTATAATTTATAAATTAGTATGCACATTAATATTGCAACTTTTGAAAGTCAAGCCACTGAACAAGTTCAAAATGATTTATATTTATAAAAAAACCTAGTAACTCAGTGTTATATTTTTTAAGTAAATGATTTAATTAGATATGTATAAAAAAATCAATCACAAATTACATAATAAAAATTTAATCAAATGCAACTCAAAAAAGGGCTTGTTCAACTAAATTTAAGCTGAGACTAATAAAAAATTAGTTAAAGTATATGTTTAGTCCTTTTAATTTGCATCAAATTTTAATTTAGTCTCTTAAATTTAAAAAGTGTATTTTTAGTTTCTTAAATTTAACATTATTAACCTTACTAATGGGAAAGTGTGATTAAAGAACTTGACTTAAAAAATATAATAGACTTTACCTAAGTTTTGTCCTTATATAAAATACTAAGTATAAATTGTTAAAATTATAATCAAAGGCAAAAAAATATTGTTAAAGTTATAATCAATGATGACAAGCTGAACACAATGATGATGAGAAGGGGAAATGAGCGAAAAAGGAGGAGAACAATCTCCAAAACAGGCCAGTATTTTGCCAATTCTTTTGGTGACCTGGAGGCCCAATAGCCAACCCATATTACTCGATCTCGGGTTTTTGGGCCAACAACCCATATCACTCTACGTAACCCATGTTACTCTATCTTGAAGCAATTTTTATATTTTTTAAAATAAAAGGCAAATGACCCGTTTTTTTTGGAAAAATTGTAAAAAAAGACCTTGGAATTGTGAAAATACAGATAGGGCTCTTGACAACTTTACTTTAGGTTTTGACAATAATAATATGTCATAAAGTTGTCAAAACGCAAGTGAAGTTGTCAATAGTCCCTATCTGCATTTTTGCAATTCCAAGGTAATTTTTTTGCAATTTTCCCTTCTCTTTTTCGTTTTTCTTTTTTGGCGGTTCGGAAGAATTTCTTTGGATATTCTTTGATTTTCCAAGATGATGTTTGCCCACCAAAGGACAAATGGCAGAAGCAAGAGGAGGAACCAAAGTGAGAAAACACGAGAAGAGTATTAATAGAAGTCCAAAGTAGCCGTTGCAGAATAGTGCCGATGCTGTGATGCAGCTTATGAATTCGGAAGAACTTCTTTTGTTCCCCCCCCCCGGGGGGGATCGGAAGAATTTCATTCAATCCATCAATTTTGGGCTGAAGAATGAGCATACAATTAATTCAAATGATGAATGGTTTGCATTTTTTTTTATAAAAAAAATCATTAAAAAATAACAAGAACTATAAATTTTACGCGGTCATAGTAGATGTAGGTTTCTGATCTGGAGAACCAAAACATGCTAAATATTTGTGTTATTTTTTTTTTATTTAGTGTCTTTGGCATTATTATGCCTACTGATATATATACACACACTATTTTTTTTCTTAATATAAGGGTCAAATAACTAATTTATAAATATTAAAAAAATAGTTAAATTAATTATTTGTAATAAATAGATGTTTACTTTATGATAATCTCTATTATTTATAAGCTATTCATAGTTCAAATTTACATATCTATTTTTTAGTAAAATTATAATAATATTTTTTTTATGAAATGTTAAATATGGGCTATCAAAATCTAATTTAACAGTAATAAAGGGGCATGGGAAAGGAAGAGTTGAGGAGAGAAGATGCTTCCGTTTCCCTTTGTGGATCCAATTCTGGATAAATATTAGGAACTACTTCTGGCTAGCCGTGGATATGATGAACAACCACAATCGAAAATCGTGATCAAACTTGACATATATTTTGTTGGCAAAGCATCCAAAGAATCAAAGAATCTTAGAATTTCATGATTCATATATTAGAACATCAATCAATGAGGCAATAAAGAGATGAGACAAAAATAAAAAAAGAATGAACAAATGAATCCCATATTATATGTTGCTGCTGGGATATCAAATACTGAAACACATTCATTCATTCATGTAGACAACTTCAAGTGCTGCACTTGGCAGACCTCGGAGAGGATTCTCCGTCCCACGGCAACTCAGCGATCACGGCGAGAATCCGGCAAACACTCGCACTCCGGACAACCTTGAAGCCGTTGGATCTCTTCTTCTGCTTGCTGGTGTTGGAGAAGATGCCAGAAGAACTGGAAAGGATGAGATACACCAAAGCTTGGACAACCACGAACACCACCACCTTCACCAACATATCATCGAAGCTGCTCGTTACAATCCTGATAATTTCTTTGTTTTGTGCGATTGAACTAATAGAAGATCAGATACTTTTTGAGTTTTTCTGATACCAAGCAATGACATAAATTTATATGCTAATTAGCGTAACCTTTTATGGTGTCTGAGATTGTATGTGACAAAGGAGATTGTGTTTGACCAGCCGTTGAACAAAAAACGGAACTAACAATTACTAAAGAAAAGCAACAACGTAACTTTGACCAATTATTCTTTGTTCACATTGAAGGAAGGAAACTGAGTTGGGCATTTAATTAATAAAAAGTGAAAAACTAAGGGTTGTAGTGGGGGATTAAATAGCATTTTCCGACAGAGTATAAACAAACGTGCGAAAGGGGTTGAACATTTAGGGTACAGCGGAGGGACAGTGGGATTTGGTGAATTATATTTGAACCTAGCCATCATCTACATATATTGATGACCTAATTGGTGGCCTAATAATTAATTAATTAATTGTAATATATTAATTTGTCTCTCTGTTTTTTTTGGACACCAATATACTATCTCCAGTCCTTAATATAAAACCCCGTTTGATTTTTATTTTGGTCCTAAATATAAGACCCTAATTCACTTTCTCTCATATTTATACATTTTTATCCAAAGTAGTCCTTCTAATAATAAGAGTTCTAGTCAATAGACTTGATTAGTAAGGATATTTTAAGAAAGACAACACTTATTTAGGACAAATAACTAACTCAACTTATTTTCTTAATCTCCTCAAATTAGTCAACTGGCTCTTATAATTAGGACCGGAGGTGGTATTAATTGGTCTCTGAGGCAACGAAGTTCCTTTAGTTTGCTTTGGCCACATGAAGACAAAAATTAATGGGTGCATGCATCGTTTATGCTAGCTATAGTTTTTTAAATTAATTTTCATCTCAAACAGTAATTATCCGATTAAGAGAGGAATCGATATTGAAACTCACACTTTAATTTTCTATTTTAATCCTTTTCTGTATCCCGCAAAAGCCAAAAATAATATGGACGATCATCAGCTCCTTCACGCTTCAGTTTTAATCAACCATCAATCCCTGTTTTAGTTTTATTTAAAATCCATTTTTTATTTATCATTATCATTATTTAAAAAAATTTGATGATAAATTTATTAGAAATTATTTAAAATGAGAGTTATAATAATTTTTAATGTATTTTATTTTTAATATATACTTTTGTTTTGAAGAAATTAACCATTTTGGACGATTCTCTTAAAAATGGAAGAAAAAAGCTTTAAGTAAGAAAGTGAAAAGTCCTATGTCACAAACAGTCGCTTTGGCCGAGTGGTTAAGGCGTGTGCCTGCTAAGTACATGGGCTCTGCCCGCGAGAGTTCGAATCTCTCAGGCGACGTTGGTTTCTTTTTCCCCGGCTATTATTCTGTTAATTATTATTATTAATCTGGATATTGAAAAATCTGTTCAAACTTAAATGCCTTGTTTCGTGGGACCCACAAAATAACATAACATGAGATCTTAGTTTTTCCCCTCCATCGAAAGCTTCATTTTTCTTTTCTTCATTGTTTGTCAGTTGAACCCCATTAATCTGACTGACATTTGAATGAGTCTTTCACGTAATCATTAGTTTTATGCGCTGCTCCTTTGCCTATGTTTTTCTTGGTGGGGGCGTCGGGGAAGATTGCCTCGTTTAGTCTAGAAATTTGAAGAGACAAAAGCAGAGTGCTTCTTGTTTCCAAGATGTTTATTTAACTGCTCGCTTCTAGATATACAGAAGAAATAGAAACAAAGGAACCATGAAATGATAAAATAGAAATGCGTATTCAACTGCTTGCTTCAACAATGAGCATTATTTCACTCTCAGTACAATTCAGCTAAATAAAACTAATGCTCAGGTGGGTTCTAGTTTTGATTGAGTTTGGAAAGATTGTCTCTAACAATTTTTAATTTTGTAGCAGCATCTTTCATCTTAAGACGTTCATCTGGAGAATCTGCAGTGCAGGATAACCCAACTCCCAGAATTCCATTCACACAATCAAGTTGTAGACTTGGACCTCTATCAGCAAGGCCATTGTGAAAAATGTGGGACAAAAGCTGAGGATCTATGACTTGCAGAGTCTTGTCAGGGAATGCTGATTGCACCCATCTTGTTAAGCTCAGGCCACCTGCGAAGTGATCATCTGTTGGACTTCTCCCAGAAAAGAGTTGCAACAATATAATTCCAAAACTGTATGTATCTCCTGCTGCCGATGGTTTTTCTCCCCATCCATACTCTGCATTCATGTCAGTAAAGCATGAGACCAATAACTACAAAATACTAAATGATTACTTTATTAGTCTCTAGAGTTTCCCTTAACTTTTGGTTTGATTTTCATTCAAGATACGCAGATAAAATTATGAAGTTGCCATACCTGGAGGTATGTAACCGATTGAACCTCTTAGAACATGAGTGGAGCTTATCGAGACCTGATTAGTTGGTCTCTCAATCATAAGCCTAGCCAATCCAAAATCACCCACCTTAGCAATCATATCTTCACACAAAAGAATATTGCTTGGCTTTAGATCACAATGCACAATAGGAGTTTCACTGTCATCATGCAGATATTCCATTGCACAAGCAACATCAATAGCAATGTTCAGTCTCTCCAGAAGATTCAACCCATTCCCATTTGCATGCTTTATCTTTCCCTTGATCCAATCTTCCAAGTTGCCGTTAGACATGAACTCGTAAACCAAAGCCAGAAATTCTTTGTTCTTGAAGTCTATACTAGAACATGATGTGATTAGCTTAACCAGATTTCGATGCCTTACATTCCTTAAAGCCTCACATTCTGCATAGAAACTCTTCAAGGAGCCTGATCTCGAAGTATCTAGGACTTTTACTGCTACAGCATTCTCTTCACTGAGATAGCCTCTATAGACCGAACCAAAGCTTCCAATTCCCAATAAATTTTCTTGGCTGAAGTTTCTAGTTGCTCGTCGAAGCTCATCATAAGAGACCATTGGATGATATGGCTTTGCCATTTCAAGTGGTGTTATTGCCTTTGTTCTACGGCTTCTCACATATAATAGCAAGCCCAAAATGAAACATAGTGTGAATGTTACCACAACAGGTATGGTGATATAAATTATGAGCATCTTTCTTCCACGCCCTTGAGTAACACATGATGAGAGCAAACAGAGTTTTTCATTTCCTTCAAAATGGAAAGAAGAGATATTCTTGAAAACTCCAGCACTGGGAATGACTCCTTCTAAGTCGTTATAAGAAAGGTTCAATAACCGAAGGGCATTTAGATTTTGAAGTTCAACTGGAACAGATCCAGAGATTTGATTGGAGGAAAGGTCTAGAATTTCCAAGCCTCTGATGCTTCCAAGAGCTTTGGGAATAAAACCAGAAAACATATTTCGTGCCAAAAATAGATTTTCTAGGCTTAGACAATTGCTGATTGAGCTGGGGATTTCACCAACTAAAAGATTGTCTGAGAAGTCTAAGGTTGAGACTTTGATCAAACTCCCTACTTCTTGAGGCAAAGAGCCACTTAGAAGGTTCTTAGACATGTTTAAAATTGTGCTAAGAGATGAGAGACTGAGTACTTCTCTAGGTATGCTTCCATTGAGCTTGTTGTGAGATAAGTCCATGAAGACAATATTCTGAAAATCCCCAAAACTTGAAGGTATTTCACCCCCAAGCTGATTGCCAGACAAATAAAGCCTGTTCAACATTTGGAGACGTCCAAGGGAGTTTGGAATGCTTCCAGATATCTGATTCCCTGCTAGGCTAAGCTCCTGTAGTTTCTCCAGTTGGCTTAACTCGAAAGGAATTTCTCCTGAGATTGCATTGTAACTCAAGTTTAGTAAACTCAAGCCTCTAAGATTCCCAATTGAGGGGGGTATGTTTCCATGGAAACGATTCCCTCCCATGTATAATTTGGAGAGGACCTTGGAGAAATTTCCAATAGTCTCTGGAATTACACCTTCCAACCTATTGCCATCAATTGCGAGAAAGCTCAAGAGGGTGCAGTTTGCCAATGAAGCAATGAACTCCAGGCCTCCATCTTTTGAGCTTACTATCCTGTTATACCCTATATTGTACATACGAAGGAAGGGGAGATTTCCAAGACCTGGTGGCACCGTTCCTTCCAAAAGGTTGGATGCCATGCGAATAACTTGAATGTTGGTGAGATTATGCAAAGACCAAGGAATTCTACCTGTGAATCTATTAAAGCAGATATTGAACACTAGAAGTTTTGGAAGTCTGTGACCAATATCCTGAGGAATAACACCCCAGAAATCATTGTCAGCTACAGCCAAGTTAACAAGGGAAGATAAGTTATATATAGAAGAAGGAATAGCCCCAGTGAGATTGTTAATAGTGAGATCAAGCTCAATTAAGTTCTTGAGCCAACCTAATTCACTGGGAATCCCACCACTTAGAGTGTTTGTGCCAAAACTGATATTTGTAAGAGATGAAATGTTCCCTAGAGTTGGTGGAACTACACCGTATAGTCTATTGCTTCCCATTCTCAAGACTTGAAGCTTTGTTAAGCTGTCAATATCCTGAGGAATTTGACTGACTATATAGTTGGAGGATAAGTTGAGTGTAACGAGGTTGGCCAAGCGAGTGATGTTTGAAGGAAGCATGCCCTCTATTCTGTTAGAGCTCAAGTCTAGAGATCTTAACCGAATGAGATGGCCAATTTGGTCTGGAATCACTCCTGTGAATTGGTTTCCCCGCAACTGGAGGGACTCAAGAAAAGAGAGATTACCTATACTTGGGCTCAACTGACCTGAGAGCCTTAAGCCCGAAAGATTCAAGTCTATAACTCTTTGACGAAGCCTGTTGCAGGTTACACCATACCAGTTGCAGGGGGATGATGAACTCTGGTTCCAAGAAGATAAAGGGTGAGGAGGATCAATATTACTCAACTGAGACTTAAACGAGATCAAAGCTTCTGTATCTGTGGCAATGTCTAGAGCGGTTGATGATGATATACAGAGAAAAAGGACGTGGCTAGCTAAAGGAAAAATACATAATCCAAAATGAAGCGACATATGAGAAAAGAAGCCCATACTTAGTCTTTTGGCTTCCATGGATAGCATGGAGGTTTTTTATATCCACTAACCCAGATGCGTATTTGTAGAGTTAGTTAATGCGATCTCCATGTGGACTGAACTTCTCAACTTGTCCATATGCCTATTCCACTCTGACAGCGCAATGAGCCCCGGAAGTCTTCGCTTTAATCAATTCACCTTTACATGGCAAGAAGAAATTTCAACGACGTGAGTGTTCAAGAATCAATATGTCGAACAATCTCTATCTAATTCAAGTTACTGTTCAAAAGTTTCCCACGAGACCGGATTTATTGCGTGTACATATGTGCATCCACTAAGACTAGGCGAAATAGTCCCTTATATTGCTGCCCAAGATGGACTTGGCAATCTCCTCCAACTTTATTTTTTTTTTTTTTTACAAAAAAGTTTAGGTGAGTTGGGTTCCGGAGGTTCACTAGGACTAGGACATGCCTCTAAGCTCAGAGAGCGCTTGCAAAGCTCACCAGGATCAGGACATGTTTCTAGGCTCAGAGAGTGCTTACAAATCGCCCACCAACAAAGTCTTCACATCGGCTGCAGTAGGATTTGAATTCACGACCTTGTAGATTATAAACTGACTCCTTACCAACTGGATCAACTCTTGTTGGTCCTCCAACTTGATGTTAGAGAAAAATCTCCCTCAAAAGGTTGATATATATATATATAGAGAGAGAGAGAGACGGAATCCCTTTCACATAATTTTCAAAGGTGTACGAAAACAAATCCATGGAAGCTGTTGAAGAGGATGGGGTTGAAAATAGTACCTCTTAGTGAATTCAATGCCCATAATTGTAGGTTGATGATCAGATGTGGGTCATCTAAATTTAGGTTATAAAATCCATTGACTGGGCAATTATTCAAGTCTGTGAGGTACTGGAGAGCAACATGTATCGCTCCAAGTGGATTTTCCCTTTCACGGCAATCACTTAATAAATTTAAATGTTACTTAATAATTATCATTTAATCACATGACTTGCTTTTTGTCCAAAATTAAAAGACCATTTTAATACAATTTTGATTTTTTATACTATTAAATCGATTGCCATATTACAAATTTAATTAATTTCATAAATATAATGTTTTAATAAATTGAAATGTTTCATTTTATTTATTTATTAAAACTTACCTATGATGTAATCTTTTAAATATATATGTGGGCTGAAAGTGTTTTGCAATCATATATATGTGTGTGTGTGTGCGCGCGTTTCTAATGAAATTATAAAGTTATAAAATGATATAATTTTCAGATTCATGTATTAATATTATAATTTAAAATTTTTAAATATATTTCATAAAACGTATCTTTCTTAAAAAAAGTTACTCAACTTTTTGATCAAGTTTTTTTTAATATTTTAAGTTACTTAAATTTTGTCTATATTTAGTAAAAATATGAAATAGAATATTAATAAATATTAATGTTAAAAGATAAATTATATATTTAGTATAATTATGGGTAATTTAGTAAACAATATTTATTCTAATATGGGTTTTAATTAAAAATAATATATTTTAAGAATATTTTTAATATATTATTCTTTAACGTTATTAATGGTTTAAACTAAAATGTATGCTTTTAAAATAAAAGAGAGGTTTGTGTACTTAAAATAAAATAAAAAGATGGTTAGAATATTTTATTTCTATTTGTTAAATACCTCTGTGAACATCTGATAAAATTGGAACAGATGAAGATATACTTAAATTCAACGGTACGAAAATTTGTTTTAAAAATTATTTTTAATGTTTTTTCCCCTTAAATTTTATTTTATGGAACGAAGAGCCCATTAATGCACTGCATCATTTATATAACATATATAATGCATGATGGGATTATAAAACGGAAAACTACAATTAGGTCCCAAATAAAAAAAAATTACTAAATAGTCCTAATAATAATTTAAACAGCATGTAATAACAATTTTTAAAGTAAAAGATATAACCTTTACAATTTGTTTTATAATTATTTTTCTTTCATGAGACCTCATTATAATTATCCCATTATTAAATGAACTCAACAATATGTTTCGTGATACCATGATAATAAATCTCACATCATTACAATGGAAATGCTATGTGATATTTATATTACGTTGTTTTTTGTAATATCATTACTTGAATAAAATATTGTGTAAGATTTAATTATATGATTTCTATGATATTGAAGAATATGACGAGAATGTGATAGACTTTAAGAGTTGAAAATTCTTTTAGCTGCACAGGGACAGAGAGCGTCTAAGATTGTATTCTTATGCAGATCCATTATGCCATTTATTGGTATTATAGTATATTCAAAAATATGAGCTGCACAACCAAATATATACTTTTGCTAGTTTCTAATATGTTTATTCAACTGCTTGCTCGTGGGTTCCAGAGGAAACAGAAGCAAAGGAAGCATGTAATAGAAATGCATATTCAACTGTGTACTTCACTACAACAACAACATAAGCTTTATCTCACTAAGTGGGCTCAGTCACATACTAAGTGGGGGATATCATTAGGCTCTATCAACAACAACTGTGTGCTTCAACAATGAGCATTATTTCACTCTTGATACAAATCAGCTAAACAAAATCAATGTGCTGAAGGGCCCTTGTTTTGATTGAGTTTTGAGAGATTATCTCTCACAACTTTTAATTTTGCAGTAGCATCTTTCATCTTAAGGCGTTCATCTGGAGAATCTGTAGTGCAAGATAACCCAACTCCCAAAATTGCAATCACACAATCGAGTTGTAGATTTGGACCTCTATCACCAAGGTCATTGTGAAAAATGTGTGACAGAAGTTGAGGGTCTATGACTTGCACCGTCTTGTCTGGGAACGCTGATTGAACCCATCTTGTTAAGCTTGAGCCCCCTATGAAGATATCATCTGTTGGGTTCCTCCCGGAAAAGAGCTCTAGCAACACAATCCCAAAACTGTATGTATCTCCTGCTACTGATGGCTTTTCTCCCCATCCATATTCTGCATTTATGTCGGTTAAGCATAGGAGCAACAACAACATTAGGTTAAACAATCATAAACAACAGCTTCTATTAGCTTTATGAAGGGAAAAAAGTAAAGAGAAAACATGTTTGCTTGATTTGATTCAAAGATATATACGCTTAATAAAATACAAAGTACCTGGAGGTATGTAACCTACTGAACCTTTGAGAACATGAGTAGAGCTTATTGAGACTTGATTAGTTGGTCTTTCAATCAACAATCTAGCCAATCCAAAATCACCCACCTTTGCTGTCATATCTTCGCATAAGAGAATATTGCTAGGCTTCAAATCACAATGCACAATTGGAGTTTCAGTGTCATTGTGCAGATAATCCAGTGCACAAGCAACATCAATGGCAATGTTCAGCCTCTCCATAAGATTCAACCCATTTCCATTTTCATGCATTCTCTTTCCTTTAATCCAATCATCCAAGCTGCCATTACATATGAACTCATAAACCAAAGCCAGAAATTCATTGTTCTTGAAGTCCACACTGGAACATGATGTGATTAGCTTAACTAGATTTCGATGCCTTACATTCTTCAAAGCCTCACATTCTGCAAAGAAACTCTTCAAGGAGCCTGTCCTTAAAGTATCTAGCACTTTTACTGCAACACTAGCACTTATACTCCCTTCACCAAGATAGCCTCTATAGACCCTACCAAAGCTTCCAATCCCAAGTAAACTTTCTTGGCTGAAGCTCCCAGTGGCCCGTCGAAGCTCATCAAAAGAGACCATTGGATGATTTGATTTTGCCATTTCAAATGGTGCATTTACCTTCGATTTTCTGCTCTTCATATAGAACAACAAGCCAATTGTGAAACAAAGTATCAATGTTGCAACAATAGCTATGGTGATATAAATTATGAGCATCTTTCTCCCATGCCTTTGATTAACACATGAAGATAGTAAACATAGTTTCATATTGCCTTCAAAATGGAAAGAAGAGAGATTTGTGAAAACTCCACCACTGGGGATGACTCCTTCTAGGTCATTATATGAAAGGTTCAATAACTGAAGGGCATTTAGATGTTGAAGTTCAACCGGAATGGGTCCAGAGAGTTGGTTGGTGGAGAGGTCTAGAATTTCCAAGCCTCTAATGCCTCCAAGAGCTTTTGGAATACGACCTGAAAACATATTTCGTGCCAAAAATAGCTTTTCTAGGCTTAGACAACGGCTTATCGAGCTAGGGATTTCACCAACTAAAATGTTGTCAGAGAAGTCTAAGGTGGAAACTGTGATCAAGCTCCCTACTTCTTGAGGCAAAGATCCACTTAAATGGTTCTTGGACACATTTAAACCAGTGCTCAGAGATGAGAGACTTAGAACTGCTCTAGGTATGCTTCCATTGAGCCTGTTGTGAGATAAGTCCATGAAGTCAATGCTCTGAAAATTCCCAAAACTTGTTGGTATTTCACCCACAAGTTGATTGCTTGACAAATCAAGACTGTTCAGCTTTTGGAGACGGCCAAGGGAGTTTGGAATACTTCCAGATATCTGATTCCCTGCCAGACTAAGCTCCTGTAGTTTTCCAGTTGGGTTAACTCAAAAGGAATTTCTCCTGAGATTGTATTGTGACTCAAGTTTAATAAACTCAAGCCTCTAAGATTCCCAATTGAGGGGGGTATGTTTCCATGGAAACGATTGCCTCCCATGTATAATTTTGAGAGGACTTTGGAGAGATTTCCAATGGTCTCTGGAATTACACCTTCCAACCTATTGCCGTCAATTGCGAGAAAGTTCAAGTGGGTGCTGTTTGCCAATGAAGAGATGAAGTCTAGGCCTCCTTCTTCTGAGCTTACAATCCTATTATACCCTATATTGTACATACGAAGGAAGGGGAGATTTCCAAGACCTTGTGGCACTGTTCCTTCTAAAAGGTTGGAAGCCATGCGAATAACTTGAATGTTGGTGAGATTATGCAAAGACCAAGGAATTCTACCTGTGAATCTATTAAAGCAGAAATTGAATACTAGGAGTTTTGGAAGTCTGTGACCAAC